AACAATACAGGTGGAGGAGGTTAGGTGGTTGTCGAGTCCAGTGGGAAGGTTTGGAGAGACGGCGATGGTTGAGCATTTAGTACGTAGGTCGGGACATCATTTAGACATATTTACATTAGTTGCGGCTTTTCAATCCGCATTCGACAAATCAACATCACTCAACATTATCATTTTTACTCTCCTTAAAGACACATGTTACACATATTCACTCAAAACTTCTAAGTTCAAAAATATTGTTGTTTTATGGTAGTTATATTATTTAAGTATATGTCAAGAATTTTGCATCGCTTCTACACATTCAATACTGCAATTCAATGTGCAATAGTTGCACCAATGACATTAGGCTTGTGATTTTAAAATTATTCTCCTTTTATAAGATAAATAGAAATAGAATTAATTATTAAATTCGAATTAAAATAATCAAAGTATGAAAATAAAAGTATCAAATACCAAAAAAATATTTAGGAGAGAGTTAGTGGCTTACTAACTGTGATGGAAAATTCCAATAATTTTTCAGATTTAAGCTTCCTGTATGTTTTTAATTTAAAAGGTTTAAACAAATTTGTTTACTCTAACTGGTTATGTTTGTTGTCTTTTCTCAAAGAGATCACAATTCAAATCCCAATCACTTATGTATTTTTCCTGTAAATAAGAAAATAATAAATGACTGTGAAGACGAATCTACCCTTCCTACCTTTGCTAGGGATGCAAGGATTTTGTAATGGGGAAGCACCTTTTCCATTTCACAATTATAACTCGGACCCGGACCGGACCGAAACCGGATAACAAACAATCCAATCCCATCTTCAGGCTTAGAATTGAGGTAAAAACCGTTTGGGACTGGATCGAAGACCGGATAAGAGAGCGCAACACTCAAAACTTAACCAACTCCTCACCTTTTGAGGTCTCAGGCCATTCAAATTTCCACAAGCTCAATCTAAATTGAGACCGAATTGGTACCAGATCGGGTCAAGACCGGACTGTATCTAATCCAATCTTTGGTCCTTATATTCCTGAAAAGACCGGACCAAAACCAGATCAACTCGGGTCAATTTAACCGAACACAGTGATCGTGAAGACGAATTTACCCTTCCTACTTTCACTATGGATGCAGGAAATTTGAAATGGGACTTCAAGTTTTCTCATTTGGCTTTTATTAATTGTGTAGATGTAATCCGAATTAAACAAAAACAAGCTCGCCTTTTTCTGCTACAATTAGGGCTGACTATTTGGTCCGAGCTTTCTGGGTTTACCCAAAACAGGACCGTATAACTCGGACTGGAACCGGATAGCAAACAATCCAATCCCATCTTCAGGCTTAGAATTGAGGTAAAAACCGTTTGGGACTGGATCGAAGACCGGATAAGAGAGCGCAACACCCAAAACTTATCCAACTCCTCACCTTTTGAGGTCTCAGGCCACTCAAATTTCCACAAGCTCAATCTAAATCGAGACCAAATTGGAACCAGACCGGGTCAAAACCGGACTGTATCTAATCCAATCTTTGCTCCTTACATTCCTAAAAAGACCGGACCGAAACCAGATCAACTCGGGTCAATTTAACCGGACCGTATACCCATCCCTAGCTACAATGAACACACCCACCATCCTAATTAGTGTTATTATTCTTTATCTAAGAATCTTATCTCTATTGACATGCACGCAATAAAAGTAAGAATTCCAATTCCAAATTAAGGTCAGTAAATTGAACATTATTTTTTAAAATATATTAAAGTATATATCTCTATTGCCTATTATACATTACATACTCATTAGGAGGTGGTCCAAACAATAGTTAAAAGAGATGAAAAGTATGGTTTGGTTTTCTCTTTCACCCTTCAATATTTGAATGGAGTCAAGGTCAAATCTAGGAACCAAAATATGGAGATTCCCAAGTCCCAACCCAGTTGCACCCTACCACGTAGTTGCAGTGTGATGAAACTTTTTATGAATGTCACCTCTCAATGGATTTTAGAAATTCAATTTAAATCATATAAAAGGACAATCTAGCAAACATCAACTTAAGTTGGTCACTTGCACTATGTTCATTTGGGAAGGAAAAGGAGGGGAAGGAAAGAAACGGAAGGAAAGCGTCAGTTTCAAAAAAATTTCCCCCGTTTTCGAAGCTAACAACAGTAAGGAGGGAAAGAAAATAGGAGATAAAATCTCCTGTGCAACCAGACCCTCCGAATTGGAAGGAAAACTTCCTTCTCCAACGCTCTCTCTCCTTTTTTTTTTTTCTTTCCTTGTTTAATGATAATAAATAAATATTAGTAAGTGAGATTACGTGAGTTTATTTTATTTATTTATAATAAAATTAATTCTTTTCTCTTTCCGTAAATTAAAGGTTTTAGTATTTATCACTTACGGAAAGTAGTAAGTGATCAACGTTGTTTGTTTTTTTATTTAACAATTGATGTTTATGGTTAAACATAATTAGGAAAAGATGATAATGATTAGTGGTTTAGGCAAAGATAATCACGGAAGCTCTTACTTGAATCAAATAAAAAGAAATAAATATTATTCTGCAATACATGAATAATAAAAAGTAATAATAAAACACTAATCTACCTAACGCATAAGTGCATTATGTTCGGGAGTAGAAATATATTACATCCAACATAGTAAAAATATATTAATCGTTATTTATACCACCAATTACCATATTGTAACGGGATGGTATTTTTTGTCCTGGACATTTTTTTGAAAAATTTGTAGATCTAATAGATCAAAATTCTAGTTAAAAATGGAAGCTGGTACCAAATGATGCCATATGGTACCACTGAATGCGTTCCATCTGTGTCAAATTTTTGAAATCCAAGTTAGAGGGAAAAAGATACAAGTCGAGATAATCCAATTTTTATGATAAAATTTTAAATCGAATTAAAATGAACGAGATTTTAAATCGAGAAATATTTTTAATAATAAACTAAATTAGCAAGAAAGAATAAATTTAATTCACTATTCATAAATAACGAAAATAACATCAACACATAACCAATTATTTTACTACTACATAACTAATAAATAACATATATGTCACACTTTCCAAATGGGTAACTTAGGTTGACTAATTTTTAATTGATTCAAATGGGTAAATTTCAAATGATCTATTTTCATACGTCTTAAAAATGTATCTTACCGACAATTCGACTGGAAAAATCTCCTATTGTAGTCTAAACCAATAGGTGGTTTAAATAATATAAAACAAATAAGCTTTGGTTACGATTTCGGCACAAAAATATCCTACCGAACAAGATAGATGATTTACCTCATACGTAACGTTGTTTTGCACCATACATAACACTGTTGTATGAGATATAAAAACTTGTTACGCTCCTCAAATTTATGTATCTGTAATTTGTTGTATGTTTATATATTTAGTTGCTATGTTATTACTCAATAAAATAGTTAACAAAATTTTAGTAATAGGTTGACAAATTTCATTCAAATAACCAACTTTTGATTTATTGTAGTTAACAAAATTAACAAAGAAGAACAAATTTGATCCACATTACATAATTAATGTAAATAGTATAAACACATAATTAAATTATTTAACTATTCTATCATCAATAAAATATAATACATATCACAATTCCCAATCTACTTTTTCCCTCCCACTTTCCCTTCCACTCTCCTCCATTAAACAATATTTTCTTTCCAATTCTCTCTAATTTCCCTCCCTTCCAAACTTAACCTCCCCTCCAAATTTTCCTACCCTCCCCTCCTTTTCCTCCCTTCCTTCATGAACATAGTGTTGATGTATGGCAAGATTCGGTTCAATCAAGCTAACTACTAGCTTTTGAATGGAAACAAATCTCAGCATGTGGAAGAAAGATGCTCTGTTTTCCTATCTTGGATGATGGCTCCCTGCCTTGCCCGACTCCTATCGTAATTAAGCCATTATTAGGTTTTAGATGGGATTTCAATACAAGGGAAGTCAAGTGGGTATAATCATTTCGCCTACATTTTTGTTGTGTGACCCATGTGATCCCTCACCAGCTAATTTTCCCAAATCTCACAAACTACTCACGGCGGTTTGTCAAACTATATCATAGGCTGTCCGGTCGAATTTATTTTTTACCGGAGTCTATTCGTACTAAGAATAATTGTTATTTGTTCACTTCATGATTTATTATGTCAACTTAATGTTATAATTAATTGGAGATCTAAATGATGAATTTTAGGTATATATAAATATTGAATATACAGAGCGGGTATTAGTCACGGGTAACCGAAAATTGTGGGTACGAGTATTGGGTTGCAAAAATCTCTCATACATGGGTATGAGGTAGATATGAGTTTGAGTATTTGAAAGTGTGGATGATTTAAGAAAACTCGCTTCAAATCCGCCGTATTGCCATCCCTAATCTCCCATCTCTGTGTATGAGAACAACAAAGAAAGTGATATAAAAGTTTGTCGGCTTCACAAATTCTTCAATGGATTTCACCAAACATCTCGTAATTAGTTTTCCAAGTTTACGGCTTTACGCTAGCTCTATGTGAGCTCTGTTTTCGTACCTCACGCATTGATCACTCGCTTTTTATTCTTTTGGCGGAAGTATATCTTTGTTGTTGCTATGTCAACGCATTGTATTAAGCATTTTTTGTTATCATCGTTACATCACTAAAGATTTGGGTTTGCTGAGATATTTCAAGAAAATTTAAGTGGCTCGCTCTACTGAAAGTATCATCCCGAATCGACGCAAATACATCCTTAATATATATTCTTGAAGATTCTGGTTTCCGGACCACTCGTTCTAGCTCATTGCTTCGTTGAGCAAAATCATCATCTTAATTGTAGTCCAATAATGCTCTACCTAATCGCTCATTTTATCAATGTCTGGTATCAATATTCTGAACATTTTATAGACCTGCCGATCTATTCAATAAGAGACTTGACGCTAATTAGTTCCATTTTCTCTCTTAAGCAAGCTGAATCTTCTGCATCTAATACGTACAGAAAAAGAGTAAAAAACGGAAAAAAGCAAGTATGCCCACAAAACACCTTGCACAAAACCTTTCATAGTATATACCAGTGAGCTCTATATTACAAACACCGTGAAAATGTATTAGTCTCGGCTCGGACCTACCAAAATCCTTAATTAACAGAAAACCCAAGTATATAAACACACATTCATCCATGCCAAAGTTCAACAAAACCTCAGCCCCGAGCCAACTGAAAAAGCACAGGCAAGGCAAACACATATCCTAGCTAGACAGCTTCATTCCCAAGCAAAGACACCCTCAGCGCCTTGACGATATCGGTCAACGAAACCACTCCCGTCAGAAGACCTTCCGAGTCCACCACCCACACCCTGTGCACGTGTTTGGTAACGGCCTTCTGGATCACCTCCAGGAGACTGGAACCGGCAGTTGCGGTAACGAGTTCCCTCGACTCCGTGGTCGGGGAGTCGGGAGAAACAGCATGAAGCGGTGACGAGACCACCGTCTCCGTGAACTCCAGAGCGGTCAACGGCAGCCAGGTCTGCAGCGTCGCGAAGTGCCACCCTCTCAGGTCGGTCGACGAGAACGTCCCTATCAGCTTCCTTCCTTTCCCCTGCATGGACCAAATATCAGCCAGTAGAATGAAGTCTCCCAAATCAAATCATAAATTAGATGTGACAGATAGATTGCATTTATAGATTACTGAATTGACGAATTGAGACGAAAGGATTGACGAATTGGATTGATAGATTCATGAATCAAATGGATTGGTGAAATGATCTATGTATCCAAATGACATCCACGCCTTGGACCATTGTGTAAATTTTAAAAAGTTTAGCTATTAAAATGTCAATATGCAAAAAATTTAGGTACCAAAATGTATATTTTTCAATGATGATTTTTGTCTAATAAAAAAATTTGCGTACCAAAATGTAAAATATTGAAATTATAGATCCTAACTACGATTTAGCAACAATCCACGAAATAAATCCATGAATTCACCCTGGATTGGATTCAAAGGAATTGGATTAGTTGGATAATTATGTAGACGGATTGGAATCCATGGATTTGATCCTAATAGCCACCTCTAGTCAAAAGTATTGGAGATTCATGAATTAGAACAAATGGGTTGGTGGATCAAACTCATGAATCCAAGTGACATCTAAACATTAAACCAATAAGTAATGTTTTGAAAATTTTAGGTGCTAACATATCATAATAAAAAATTTAGATGGAAAAATGAAATTTTCAACGATATTTAAGTTAAAAATTTATGATTTAGGTATTAAAATGTACATATTAAAAGAACACATACTAAATTTTCAGGTATCTATGAATCCAATTCATAAATACACATATTAAATAGATTGAATTAATTGAATATTTTAGCGAATGAATTGGATTGTGGATTATATAAAAAATTATCAAAGATTGGAAAATCACAAAATTGTGGATGATATTTAATGATATGAAGCGATCAAACCATAATCAAATTACAATTTCAACATAAGATATCTTATCGCTGATTTTTCCGATATATACGGATTCCGATATATACGGATCCAATCTTGGAAAATTTCCACCTCTAGCCACGATTTAGCTAGCTAGCGAAGATATATCATAAAAGTTATCCAGCGCACAGCATTTCTAAGAAAAGTGGTGGGGAGTGCTTACGTTTATAAGCTGCTTGGAGTCGTCTTCGATGGAGTTGCAGGCGACGACGATGGGGACGGCGTTCAGCAGCGCCGCCTTCATGCACTTGATGGCGTCGATGACCCTGGTGCGGCCGGTGATGGCGTAGACGTTCTCGTTGACGGCTCCCAGTTCGGCCAAGGTTCGAGCCATGGTGCGCTGCAGCTCGCTGTGGTCATGTGGGTACTTCTTGTCAGCCTCCTTCATGAAGAACTTGAGCAGGTCCATCTGAGTCAGCATCTTGTAGCTCGAGGCCGACTCCACCAGCTCCACGCCGGCCACGTTTGCCATGTGGCTGTCCACGGGGACAAGGGCACGGTGGATCCCTTTGCTCAGTACTTCCATGCAGTCCATGATGCTGCAATGCAATTTGTTGAACTCCTTAGCGTTGAGCAATTCGTTGAAATTCATAGCTTTTTGAAATATAAATTCACATCAACAATTACTTGTTTGAAATTAGTCCCTTTGACAACAAAGAGTTCGACCCAATGCTATATTTATGTCATGGTTGATCTCGATACGAGATTAGAAGTATATTAATGTTTTTGCCAATAATCAATTACTTTAAAATTAGTCATAACAGATAGGATCTATTTGTAAGATTCTAGATGTTTACATACAATAAAGCAAAAGGAAAAAGTATAGAAGTACTAAAATACATGAATTGGTATCAAAATCTCTAAACCTGATTGTACAAAAAGTAAAGTTTAGGTACTAAACTATAGGAAAAAATAATTGCGGGTACTGAATTGATATTTTATGACAATTGGGGCTAGAAAAATAAAAATTAATACATAATTTGAAGTTATGATATCATGTTGTGGTGGATAAAAGTATGAATATTGTGTTTCTTTTTCAAGAATCTTTTTTATTTTTTGTAATCTTAAATTTATTCAAATCTATCATCAAACAATTAAATTTGCAAATTTTACCAAACTAAATTCATCAATAGATGCTACAGTTAATTAATTAATATAATTAAACACCCTAGCTATATAAATAAATATAAAAAACCGAAACCTGGTGCTGGGGTTGAGAGTCCACAGACTAAGCCCTTCGAGGCAGTGCCCGATGACCGCAGAAACAGGCGCCGACATCTTCGCCCCGAGCTTCTCATCTGAAAACGACGCCGACTCGTCATCCCCGGCGCCACCGTTCATCTGATCCACCTGGTCGTCGGCGGCGGCGATGTGGGCCAGGATGTCGAGCATGGTGACCATCCCTATGTAGTGCTTCCTCGCCACGCCCGTCTGCTTGTCGGACTCCATGATCATCGACCCGCCCGCCCCGATCCACTGGCCCGGCGGCGCCGCCACGGGGACCGCCACCACCCGGTTCGCCACCAGGGTGTTCATCGTGTCGGCCAGCGACGCCGTGTAGGGCACCTCCACCAGCCGCTTGTTCTCCACCACCAGCTCCTTCACTTTCCTGTCCAGTAGCCTGGTTGTTTCGCCGCCGGCGTGCTGCTGCTGGCTCTTCGCCGCCGTGGCGCCGGCGTCCTCTCGATGTTGCTGCTGCTGCATCTGTCTAGATTGTAGGTGGTAGATGGAAAAGTTGTGTGGGTAAGTGAAATGTGTTGGCCGGGGTGTCGGGTTTTTGTATAATATGGTTTGTCGTATTCGTGGAAGTGGGGGAAAGGAGTGGAGTTGTCGGTTTAGGGTATGAGATGACACGCGTAAGAGGGATAGGACGGTTCGTGTCGTTTGGTAACTGCAGGACTATGGTGGTGCTGCCAAGTGGTCTTTTTGGGGGAAGAGAATGGATAGAGGTAAAAGAGGAGGAATGTGTTCTTTTGGATAGGATCCTCGGCTCTGAGATAACTAGCATCGGGCCCGACCCGTTGGCCGGTGGAATTCGATGATGCTGAATTAACATTCACGTATAGAACCAAGAAATGAATAAACTACCCGGAAAGGAAGCAACTCAGTTCCCATAGGTTCCAGCAGTAGAATCCCTGAAATTGCAAAACGATGTTCTCCAAAAGTTGTAGTTTAGACTACCTGCTGCTAAGGAAAATAGAAAACCTAGGTAGTTTTGCCAAATACATGGATAATGAACTACTAATGTAATGAACATGAGGACAATATTATTCCCCATTCAAATTCATATTGTCTTTGGAAACTGACAAAAGAAATTATGTACAATATAAAGTAACAAATTTCATAAAATAAAGCATGCATAATGAACTCATAAATGAGCAATAAAATGCTGGACATAAGTTTCACAGCGAACAACTTAGTAATAATAGAAATTTCTAAAATCCAACACTACTTCTCTTCCTCATCAGAATCAACCACTTGGGCCTTCTTCTGCCTCTTGAAGTTATTCCCTTCGGTAGCTTCAGAACTTGCAGAGCTATCCTCTAAGTTTGCTTCAACCAAATCAGGGCTAATTTCCTGGCTGTTGGCAGGAAATGAAGTTTGGGATGCAACTGACGCCTCACTGATTTGCTGCAAAAGTTATTAGAATAATAAGAGAAAGGAATGAATGAATCTTATCTCTAAATGAAAATGACACTGAACCTGTAGTCATTACCGCAAGAGGATCATGTTCTATGCAAGCCACAGTATACTCGGCTTGAGGGTTGATGAAGTTGAATTGGGTTAGCTTAACATGCACTTTCAATTTCATGCTAACAACTTGCTCAATCTGCTGGGGAATTGGTTCCTTCTTCCTTTGATTTCCTTGGAATAAAACATCAGCCATAACACCAAAGAAACGCAGTCCTTCACGCTCTAAAATTGCAAAGTCAGCATCACCAGAATCATCCTGCAGCTGAAGCTTCACTCTATACCTAGATTAAAAATCAAATACAAATCATGCGTGAGTTAAGTGTAAATCTGAAGCTACGATTCAAGTTCAATCTTCCTATCAAATTGTCATAACTAAGACAAACAAAATTATGTTGTTCCTTTGTTATTAGATTGTTCTATCAATTGTAGTAGTTGTCCGAAGGTAATTGTTGTTGTTTTTTGAATAAAGTCACAAATACCAGTTAAACGCAAATGACAGTAAGCTGTAACTTCTTTCATTTCACAAACCACATAATAATTTGATTGTGTTAAAAACAACTGGAAACTCCAAGTATAAGCAACCCATTGCAAGTTAAATCTATTTCTGTTTTGATTAAATCACATATATTACAATCTATATGAACTGTAATTTTCTTACAAAGCCCCTATAAATGAAAAGCAAACTACTGAACTCATTCTTCATAATCGAAACAACCTTATACCAAATATGATCCTAGCAATACTACTGAAGGTCAAAAGAAACACATTTCAACATTTTGACAGTAGCTAGCAAACTTACTGAGCAGCTGCACTTTTAGAAGTGGTATTGTAGTGTCCGCAAAAATTCTCATCTAAGTCCTCTTCCACTTTGCGAGGGCAGCCAACACAGCCCATGTAAAACCAATTGGATCGTACTTGAATGACTTGACCTTCAACAGCAAACACTTGATCTTGAAATTTACACAAAGTTTAAATCAATAATAGCTATATTAGAAATTTCAAATGATTTTTATGACGTGTAAAGAAAAACTTACAATCTTCCCTTCCATAGTTTTGAATTCGTTAAGCTGAGCTATGGAAATTTGTTGAATCTCAGGGGCTGGTTCCTCAGCAAGTAGGACAGGTGCATTCAACCTGCCATCCCTAGAATGCAGAAAAAAATGCTATTAAATTCATATCCTAACTACTAAAATCAGCAGGTAACTAAATGCACAAACCCCAAATTAATCTTCTGCACTTCTTGTATATCCAGATTTGCCTTCAAAACTGTAGCCCCTGTGGACGATAGACAAAGCTCCCCAATTATAAGAGAAATGGTTTGATTGAATATCACCTTTATATTCGTCAACAAAAACTGAGGTAACAGTGAGAATCACTGGTCGACCTTCATTGTGGGAGACCATGTCATCTACTTGGTTGCCAATAGTTCCCCATAAAGTCACCCTTACCATCTCACCTCTGTCGTTAAATAAACAGTGAGCAAATTAAAACTATCCTGAAGGATGCATAAACAAAAACAATGAAGTGAAAAAGATGAATTCTAGTTATGTACTCAATCAATTTGAGTGTGATATCTTTCCAACGTTTTGTTGCTGAGATTTTGGAGGTGACTGCAGAATGTTGAACCAATTGGCCAACCACATCTGCAATATAGAAGAACATGATAAAGTTAACATTTGAAAGAGGGAAGTTTGTACATGAACACCAACAAAAGTACCACATACCCGATAAATTCTTCTTGTCATATAGCCTCTGCTTCATGTCAGAGTGCTTGAGGAAATAAAACTTGTAGGCCGATATGCTTGGATAACTTTTCACATGTTGGACCAAAGTTGATAAATCAAACTCCAACATCAAACGATTGGGCACTGGCCTGAATGTGTTCTTCGTAAGAGCAACCTTGAAATGTCTAATCTCATAGACCTCTTGCTCTTTCAGAATCGATTCAAACTTTGGAATCGGAAATGGAGGAATCATAGCCCAAATATCTGACCCCTAGAACAGAAATAAACATACATAAGGGATGGGTTGTTATAGTAGAGTTAGCTATGAAACTGGTTTGAAGAAATTGTACCTCTGAATCGATGAGGACCAAGTCCATATGCAGAAGCTTTCCAGTGTTGCAATTTGTAGCTATCCACTTCCGAGAGACCCGAGTTTGAATGATCCATTTCCGGGAATTGGTGGAGAGATCCTTCAGCAGCTGCGGTGCCATCTTGTTCTCTCAATTGCCTATGGGGAAAAGGGGAAGAGAATGGCTGTAAGGGTAAGGTTCTTTTTTGCTGGAAGAACTTGTCCTTTTAAAGGCTCCTCCGGCCGTGAAACCATCCTACCCACGTCTGTAACCATCCAAATATAAAAAAAGGCGGTTGTCGTCTGCCGAAAGAGATCGTCGATAACCGTCGCCAGCCACTTCCTTTAGGGCCTTTCATTTTGCCGATAACAGTGGTGATAACTGCATACCACTTCTATGAAACCTAAGTGACTTCCCTACAAACCACCACTCGATAAAACAAACACTCCATAAATTCTAATAGCAATCAGAGAACCAAATGTCAGGCTAGGGACAGCTTATATACCTGGCTTAGTCTTCTGTTAGAGGGTTTCCTCGAAGAGGATCACTCCGATGAGGTACTAGAACACACCAGGGACGATGAAGAGGAGATCAGGGAGAGCATGCCTGTTCTCCTCATTATTCTCATATGTGCAATACGAACCCAAACAATCCAATCAGGCATTCGTGATTGACCTCTACATCAAGTATAACAATTTCAGATGCGTAACTAACAAAATCCCCTGAAATTTTAACAAATGAAAAGCGGAAATCAGCAGCACATCGAAGGAAGAAGACTCCCCCTTAATAAACCCTTCCAAAACTTACCCAAATACTGCTTTGCTATAGACGACGTGACGGCGGCCATCGCTGCGGCGGAAGGAGCACCGGTAGACATCGATGCGGCGGAGAGTAGGTGCCAGAACTCCGGTGCGGCAGAGAGATTGACAGCAAACAATGGTGCGGCGGATTTAGGTCTGAACGCCCTCTCCCTCACTGAAACAAATCCGATTGGGAAATACCAATCGCCTCTTCTCCCTTGACGATGGGCTGCCAATTAAAGATGGGCTTCACTTAGCCCATTCCAAACAAATTGTTTTTCATCAGAGTATAAGAACACTGCTAATGGCTGGGCTGGATTAAGAAAAAATTCTATAGATCTGCTTCAATCTGCTCGATGAAAACCCAGTGAGTTATGGAATCAGAATTTTGTTCTTGATTTCATTGGATCCATTTCATCATGTTTTATAAAAGTTAAAATTATTTTGTTTTATTCCATTAAGTTTCCTCTACAACACCTCAGAGCATAACAAACAAAAGAAATAAGACGGGCCTTCTTCTTATTCTTCTTATTCTTCTTATTGGGCTCAACCTTCATGGTTGGGTCAGAGAAAATTATCAAATGGCTTTGTAAGCCTTCCATTCGTCTAATGCCAAGCGAATGCCAAAACAATTCACCAGTTCTAAAAAACAAAGAACCCTTGCAAAAAAATAAATTCTCAAAAGCACGAACCACAAAGCTGGAAACGATTAATATCCAATTATTTACAAACCTAAAATTGAAACTGTCAACGTGGACAAAGCTAAAAACTCATAACCAAGCTACTGATACGAAGAACTGAAATTCTCAGTGTCTGAACACACACTGAAAACGATGAACTAAATTCTAAACTGGAAATTATTTACAGTACGATTGCCCAATCCTTCCCTGGTCTTCTCTTAGCCACTGCTGATTTTGACAACCACATGATGCATTGCTTCAGGATTGTAAAAACGGGGAACAGATTTCACCAAGAACTGAAACTTCTTGCCTTTCATTGACTTCAAATTCACCTCAAAGCTTGACCTGTCGAACTGCAGGTCATTCTTGAAAATGGAGTTAGCCATCGATCTGAAACTATTGCTGGTGAAAATAAAATCACAGGAGTCATGTTCATCTTTCACTTTCAGCTCAACCATGAAGCTTTTTTTGCGATC